GTTAATTGGCAGAAACTTATCTCCCTACCAAAACAACTTATTTGTGTGTTATAACAAAGTTTCTGTCTCATACAGGTTGTTGACTTCAAAATGCATGTTTTTTTTGGAATTGCGTGAGCACTGCAAGTCACGATGTTTAGATGTTTTGTCACTGTGGCAGAGGACGATTGTAATATCCCTCATCTTAGCCCAGTCATTTACTGATGTGGTTACTCTACTCCTTTACTTTGTCTCACCAACAGAGTATAAAAGTAAAGTAAAGTTTAAAAAACTGGTGACAGAAATTATCTACAGGAGAAACTTTATCGATCTCGACAAAGCTTCAAATCTGTATGCCTGGTGGTATCACAATGATGGACAGGACCTGTCAGGTATATACACATAGTATTTGATTGGCTGTCTAAGATAAAGGAAACTCTACTGTAATTGGTCAAATTCTCGTGTCACCTGATTGTCAATAAATCAATTTATTGAATATCCCAAGAGATTCATATCTGCCTCAATAGCATTTAGAAAACTATCTAATCTTCCAAAAAACAAAAAAAAAAAAAAAATTATATATATATGTTTTTTGGAAATTAGATAATCAGCAATCTACATGCTATTGAGGCAGACTGACCATTTGATTACTGGGTGCAGGACCAGCAAAGTGTTTCCAAAAGCTGCTTTACTTTTGGTTGACAATTTAAACTGCTTTATCAATAGAATTCTTCTTACAGAGGAAGATTTACAGATTATGCTTCATTAAACAGGTAATTAAAGATTCTATCCACATTATTGAGTAATATGAAGTGATAGATGAACGGACGGACAGACAGATAGACAGACAGATGGGTGTGTGTTTATATGTGCTCTATATATGGCTGTTTTTATTATAATACAAGTCTTTCTCACCTTTAATCTAAGATACAGGTTTTTATAAACACCAATGTTTAAAAGATTCATTACATTGTTTTATTTAGAAACCAACAATTTAAACAGACTTTCAAAGGAAATTTTAGACTTGAAAGCTTTATTACAGAGTAGCAGAGTTGCTTGCGTAAAATACAAGCTTTGTGATCTATCATTGTATGTGTTAAATGACCTTTAATTTACTAGTGACAAACCTTAAAAAGGGAGAAAAGAGTAAACTCCTGAAGTTATTTTTCCTTATGTCTTATCTATTTGTCCAAATTTAGATGGTTTAATATATATTATCATTATTTTCAAAATAGCTGTATCTGAAAATGATCATCGTAGGTGAAGCATATTTTCTTATATATTACAGAATTGTTTATTGTTTTTAAGACAAGTGAAGCTTAATTTAGTTATAAGCAGGGAGAAATTCATAAGCTTTTGCTTCAGCCTAAACCTTTCAGCAACAGTATTGTTCATCAATACACAATATGTCTGTGTTTTTTATGTGTCTGAATAAACTTAAAGTAAACTATTAATGCAGAGTTTTATAGTGATTTAGTGCAATTAACAAACAAACTCAACCTAAAGCTTCTCTGATTTTGAATTCATGAAGATGAAACACTGCATTTTTCATAGATTAATTTTATTTTCTTTTACAGCATATACAACCTTAATGTAGGGATGTCTAACAATAAGTTACAACAAGCTGCTGGAGTTAGGGAAACAGTGGTAGATCTCAAGGACCAAAGTCTTTATGGGCCACAACCTGCAAACAAACCATCAATCCAAAAGCAATGCAGGCAGAGCTCAGGGCTTGACATTTATGGCTACGTTCTGAGAAGAAAAATTGAACTGCAGTAATATATAAAAGAAGAAAAGAGGCAAATAAGTTTCTTTTTTTGCACCAGAAAGAAGAGCAGAATGTTGGTGCAGTTGCTCACTATTACCTCCTCTATCAGGGGAGTGCTTAATTGTCTTGAATGCCAGGCGCAACCTTTTTTAGACACAATTTATTTCTAGAATAAGAGTCATTTGGGAATACTTAGACCTCAGTCGGAGAGGGGCAAACCCATCCACCTTTACTCAGCTGCTTCATTTTCTTCTGATGTTCTCAATTTTCCAACTCATTCACTGGGATGGTAAATTCTGTTTCTGACTGGCAAAGAGCCCCCAGGTGCAGCTTTATTTGGCAGTTAATGTTCAGATGTGTGAGATATGGCTTGAGTACACAGATTTGGATTTACACCGACAAACTGGTTTTCTGTGAGTGTCGGAGCCAAACTCCTGTTCGACTTAATGAAGTCTTTGAGGAGCAATGTTGGAATTTTATGACTCACCTCTGTTCCTGCACAGACAAAAATAAAAACAAACTTTCTGCACTGGCAAGATGAGATTTAAGAAAGAGCTACAGCATTCCACAACAGTTTCTTCCCCACTGCCATTAGACTGCTGAATGTTTTGTAAAATAGGTTATTGTATTTAATTAAATTTTATCTTTATATATAAAAAAGTTAGAACTGTAAATGTACAGTCATATGTTTATTACTGTTATATATATATATATATATATATATATATATATATATATATATATATATTCTTTTTTTCTTTTTTTTTTGTCAGGATTTGTGGTTGGATTGAGGACCCAAAAGCAGAGGCAAGTAGGCAGAGGTGAATTTAGGTGGGTTTAATGAGGTTCACAGGTTCAGAGGCAGGAATCAAAAATCCAACAAAAATAACAACAAACCAGAACCANTCATGGCAGATGTTCCTGTACACTATGACAGCTACCTGGTTGTGCGTTCCATGTATGCACTTCCTGCCTGCATTTTACACCCTGCTGTTATGTGCTGTATTGTTTCAGAGGCATCTTTGCACAGTCTGCATCGGGGGTCCTGCCTGGTGTGGTACACCCCGGCCTCTATTAATCTTGTACTGAGTGCCTGTTCTTGTGCTGCCATGATTAGTGCCTCTGTGCTGTCCTTCAGTTCAGCCTTTTCCAGCCACTGGTAGGATTTTTTGATATCAGCCACTTCTCTATTTGTCTGTCGTACACGCCGTGCAGCGGCTTGTCCCTCCATGATGGTTCTCCCTCTTTCTTGTCCTCACTTTCAGTTTTCTCCTGCCTGAGGTATATTCGCCAAGCAATTTGTCTTTGGGGGCCATCTTCCTGATGTACTCCTGGATCTTAGTTGTTTCATCCTGGACAGTGGTCTATTTTTCAAGGCTGCACTTTTAAAAAGATGAAATTGTCAAGAGAGTTGTTCCAAACAAAACTTCTTTTTTGTTTTACATTTGTGTAAACAAAATCACAAATAAAATCTGTCGAAGTCTAAGCTGCTCTTCTATTGGTTTAGGGTTAACCTGTCCATTAGAGGCAACACATAGACATGCAACCACACATAGACCTAACGCCAATTCAGTCACCAATTAGCCTAAAAGTCTTGTTTTTGGACTGCTGGAAGAAGCTGCAGTACCCTGAGAAAACCCACCCACCCACATTGAGAATATGCAAACTCACTGCAGAAAGATGCAAGGAACTAAAGTAAGGACCTTTTTGCTGCAAGATAGCAGCGCTACAAACTGTGCCGTCCAGGATTAATCCATCCATTGTCTGTCACTGTTTATCCCAGCTGGGGTTGCGAGGGGTGCTGGTGCCTATCTCCAGCTGTCTACAGGCGAGAGGCGGGGTACACCCTGGACAGGTCGCCAGTCTATCGCAGGGGAACACAGAGACACACAGGACAAACCACCAT